TATATATATATATATATATGTGTTTTATTTCCTGGCTACATTCTGTTAATTTTACATTCTATCATTAATACAACAAATATATTTGCTCCTGCCTGGTAAAATCCTCCTGTCCCATCACCTCCAGGTGGAGAATGAAGCTGGTCTGGCGGAGGTGCGAGAGCTGCAGGACAGGCTGGATATGAGTGAACATGTCAGTGAGGGCCTGCGTCGAGAGCTGAGGGAGCAGGCCACCCGTAAGACCCAGATGCACACCGAGCTGCACCAGGCCCGCATGCACGTGGCCCAGCTGACCCTGCAGCTGTCGGAGGAGAACCTGGTCCTCAGGGAGGAGCGAGCCACCTGGGTCCTGGAGAGAGAGGCTTACAAGCAGGCAGCAGAAGTCAGAATACAAAGACTGATTTTGCACACTTTTGAACTGTGTAACCCCTGTTTTTGTGGGGTTTTTTAATTATTATTTTCTTATGTTTATTCAGACTGCCAAAGCTAAAATGCAAGACCTGAGCAGTGAGGTGCAAAGGAAGGAGGACTGGCTCCAGGAGGAGAGGATGGAGAGGGAGAAACTGGAAGCAGAGCTAGGGAGACACAGAGAACATAACAGAGTAATTCAATGTGAAAGAGGACATTTTAGTCCAGCTGGGCCACTGGTATCGAGTTGTAAATTAAATCTGTCAGAAACAACATTAAACATCGTTTATTTGGTTTTATCAAAGCAGTAACTTAAACCATAAGGATGTCAGGATTATAGATTTCCTCAGAAAATGTATCACGATATTACGATTATTATACGTCAACTGATTTCTACAACACTTTAAATGGGTAAAGTCACATAAACACACCTTAAAGTTTCGATGCTAACATAACAAACATATATAGCAACAAAGTCAAGTAATCCCACTGCTCAGGTTAACGATAAAACAACAAATGCTACACATGTAGCATTATTACTGATAGCCGAACCCGTGTCGTACTCGTAAACAAACAATTGCAAGTGGCACGCTAACATTTAATGTCCTACCAATTCAACGTTACGTTAGGAAAACATTGACGTATTATATCCAGTAAATGTGTATATTTACCTTTACTTTGGCGAACAATGTCGGACGGTTGTCCCGCAGGTGATGAACCGTGTTGGACGTATTTCCCCACACAGTCTCGCTTCTCTTCTGCAACTTGTCGGGACCAAAAACAAAGTAACACATCCGGCAACACGCGGATGTTGTCGTTGTGTAACTTTTATTTGTTCCGTTTGAGGTGCGTTTAACTATAGTTCAGGGATGTTGTTTTCTGGCGGTATTAAGGAAACGTTACGATAAATGAACCATAGAGCTTAATACCGCAATTTATTATATAAAATCAGAAAATCAGGTTGAACCTGGAATCCTGACACAGTCCAACTGTGAACTATAAACCTGACAAGTATTTATCAACATTGCACAGTGGTTTTTCTGTCATGTGATCGGCAGCAGAAAAAAACAACAAAAAACAGCACAACACATTTTATATTAATTGTAGAACATGAGATAACCTTGTTACTCACTGCTGCCCCCTGCAGGTGCTGCTCAGTGACTCCCACAGAGAACTGCAAAAAGTGAGAGACATCCTGAGAAAACTCCAAACAGAGAGAGAGCAGCAGCATCAGACTCATGCAAGTGTTAGTATTACATGACATGACATGACATGACATGACGCATCATATCACATAATCACATCTCTTTACATCACAACAACTCTCACCTGAAAATGTCCAATATCAAATGCAGCTCTGATACAGAATTAAATCATTTTCTTGTGTAATCTAATCTAATTTAATCTAATTTAATCTAAAATAATCTAATCTAATGTAATGCAGACAATGAGTCCAGAAAATGGTTGCCATTTAGTCAACCACTTTCTTTGCCATTGTATTAATTATATTTTTTAAATATCATTTGTTGTTTTTGCAGTTTACAAACGACGACACATCAATCTCACCACTAGATGTCACTAAATGAATGACCCTTACTTACCTCCAAGTCTTGGCTGTCATACTTCCAAAAAAAATTAAACAATATACTGTATAAAATAAACATAAAACAACATGTCGCAGACAGAGATAAACACAGCTCCTGTATAAAATAAACATAAAACAACATGGCGCAGGCAGAGATAAACACAGACAACGCTACGTCATACTTGTTGTATTCTATTGTTTTGTGTCTTTTTTTGTTCATCCTGACGTGTGGGTTTGACGTGTCAAACTGACAGGACCTGCAGAGCTACATCAAGCAGCTACAGCAGAGATTTGGGACTGAGATAGAATCAACAGCAGAGGGAGAAGCCTCATCAGTGCCGCTGTGTAAGTCATACAAAAAAAAAAGTCTGGATAGAGTATTGTGTTTTTCTACTGCCCCTAGTGGACACTTGAGTTAAGAGCGTGTATTGTCCCAAACAGCTTCTGACTCGTGTTCTGAGGATGAAACGGACTCTGTCTCCGGGTCCCACAGATCAGTGTGTTCACCTCTCTTCCTGCTTCAGACACACACCCAGAGTGAAGACAACAGCGACGCCGCTGACGCACGTGTCGTCAGTCACACTCGTGAACACAACAAGGATCAGCTGTACTAAAAGTCCAACTGGCAAATATTTGACTTGTTTTGTCATTGAGCTCCACGCACGTCAGTCATGGTGTTTTATAACATTAATCATCAGCATCAGAAACAATAAAACTTTACACTGATTCTGACAGGTCACTTTTAACAACATCTCACTTCATCTATTCACATTTATCTATTCAGCAAAAAAGAAAAAAGAAAAGAAAAAGAAATGTCTTTGTTTTAAAATGAAACATCAGCTACTGACAATTTAATAGTCTTTGTTCAATCTTGTTTAAAAAGGTATCAAACTGTTTTTAAAATGAAACATCAGCTACTGACAGTGTTTGTTCAATGTTGTTTAAATTTTTTAAAAAGGGATCAAACTGCCGTGTAAAACTGCCCATTAATTTCACCTCCTGTCCAGTGATGACAGATTGTCATGAACAAATGTAAAGAATGTTGTGACTGTTTCTCACATGAGTCATTCAGATTCTTCCACTGTTGACTGACAGGCGAGCTTCTCTCTCCGGTCTTTTTATAGAACAAGCCGATGCAGGTAGAGCCTCGAGCCCAAGAACGGAAACAACCGATGCTACCCGAACTCATCGACCCCGTCCCAAGGTGACGAGTCTGGCTTTCCTCCAGTCACGCACAGCACACACACACACACACACGTAGTGTACACAGCCTGTTGTTTTCTCCATGACAACAGTCACACCTCCTAAAATAATATGTAAAAAAAAAAACTTTCTTCACGTTGACTTCTCATCTGACTGTTTGCTGTGACACCACAGACAGTGTCTGCCAACACACGCCGAGAAAAAAAAAATCACTGAATTATACAAAAGTGCAAATAAATATTTTTCATATTTTAGAGACAAATTTTATTTAATGTATTGAAATACAATTACCTACTTTAGTAATTTGTCTTTTAACTTTTTTTGACCTACCCCCATGAGTATGTTTCCTAAAAATATTTTTCAAGATGACTGTAAATTATGAAACAGTGGCCTGAGGTCCAGTGTGTACAATACCACTGACATCCACAAGGGGCACATTGATCTACTGGCTACTTGGTAAACAATGTAAGCACTGCTGAAAAATGTTAGCGTTATTTTCATTCTTACCGCTCTCTTTCCCCTTCTTTCTGCAGTGAACGGATTGACGCCCCCATGTGGTAACCTAAGGAACGACAGCTAAACCTACATTTGGTAAAAAAAAAACAATGAAGCAGTTTGTCTCTGTTATTTTTAACTTTTGTTTAAACGGGTTTTGACCTTTCCAAAACATTTGGTAGTCAGTAGATCAGTAAGAAAGTGTGTGTGTCTGTGTGTGTGTGTGACGGCTCTTAAATGCTTAAATGCATTAGCTCAAATTATCATGGCTAATTTCTTACTTGCTAAAAATATATAGTTTCATGACTCTGAGAGTGTGTGGGAAACTCTGTTTGTTTTTGTTCTATGAAGTTGAATCAGTCCCAGTGTTGGGTACATGTTGTGTAACGTCCTACACCGTACGTACGTCATCGTGGTGAGCCTGAACAGAAACTGTTAAATATTAATTTTGTACAGTATCTCAGCCTTAATTCTACATGTGTGTGTGAATCCCAAAAAACATGAGTGGGTGTGTGTGTGTGTATGTGTGTGTGGGTAACAGATATGTGTGAAATGTCCTCTCTCCGCTTGTTGAACTAATGTCACACGGAGAGTTGTGTAATAAAATGTCTGTGTTTGGTATTTTCTCATTACTGATATTAAAAGTTGTATCAAACCACTGGTTCCTGTTTTTTTTTTTCACAAAAATTAATAATGTATTTCTATCAAAATTAAACTGAATCTTACTTATTGACATTAGTGTCACTTGAGGTAAGGTATGTTTTTACTGCCATCTCTCCATCAGTCTCCAGGTCCTCCAGGTCCAGGACCTGGAGTGAAGCGATCTGTTTGTAGAGACAACACTCGGACAGTGAAACATCTGAGAACAAAAAGCGCCTTTATAAAAATACAAGAACGACAAAAATGAAAATAAGCTCGAGCAAACGATAAACCACAAAATAACAACAAAAAAACATTAATATATATATATATAAATTTTACATCAGAACAAGAACATGAGGCCAGTCTTTGTGTCCCTCTCCTTCTCTATTCGTGCGTTGGTCCAATTATGATAAAAGTCAACCTGAAGCAACTCATTAGGTGTAGAAATCCACATAACATAACGAGGAATAACATATTTCCACAGAACAGAATGAGGTTAAAATAAAGACGATACATACTGCATATGGATTAATGCAAAATAAAGACAAATAAAGCTTCAAACGTACTTTTCTAACTAGATCCACGCTATTGTCGATTGTATCTTTGGTCTTTCTGGTGTACATTTATAAACCCAGCCTTAACATGTGTCGTGTTTAAGGCTAACTTATTGCACGGGTTTACATTTGCAAAGGAAAAAGAAAAAAAAAGACAGATTTTGTAGTTTTTTTGGTTTGTTTTAAAGGAAGAAAATTGAAGTTAAAAACCAGCTGTAGAGACTGAACTCAGTGCTGGTTTTACCTTTACCTTCACCTTTACAGTGAATATTTTTAAACGTTTCCAACACCAACGTGTGCGTTGAGCCGATCATTAACACGAAGAGAAGCTGGTGGAGAACCAGAGGATTTCAACAGTCCAAACTTGTAGGCTTAAAAACAGTCAGAAAATCAGATGTAATTCATTCTTTATCCAAATCTGCAGCATCACATCGTTGTCTTCTCCGTCTATAGAAAGAACCTTCTTTGGGTTGTGATAGCTTAAAAACATTTCATCTTTTTTTTTCTCATTTTAACCCCCCCTTCTCTCCTTCTCTCCCACATATTTACTTATTCCACTTTTGCATAAATGCTTATGGCAGCAATGACACTCTCATGACATCTGCACAAGGTCACACTAACTATAAACACACACACGCAAACACACACACCTGAGGTTTCCTGTGATGTAAACAGCCGTAGGGATGACGTCTCTAACGTTGATTCTTCTGTCATTGGTTATAAAAGAGAAACAGTTTGGCTGAACTGGAGTCAGTTTTCATACCAAAGGTGGAAAAACCACATAAAATGAAACCAGAAGTTGTTAAAACTCTCCTAAATGCATAGAAAAATCTCAAATCTGTGATCTAGTAATTACTTGACGTATTGTTTATATAAATACCTTGATTTCTAAACAGTTAAAAGAGAGAGCTGAAGTCAACATGAGGCAGCAATAAACCGTCAATTCCTATGTATACATTTTCTTTATCTTCTAACCAAAATAATCAGATTCGTCCCTTTTGCCTATTGGAAATGGAAATTCAAGTAAATCACCAAACTGCAGATTTTAGTTTTCATTGCATTAATAGAAACTCTCTCTCTCTCTCTCTTTTTTTAAGTAAATGCTGTTTGTAGACGGACGACGAGTGGCCTCGTATTGAACCAACCTGAGACTGCGTTTACATTAATGTACCCTTTGATGATATGTACAATTCATGAGTGTAAATAATCGATTATCATAAGGTTGAGAGATGAACATTTCATTGGTCAGAATTCCACGCAGACCGAGCACCAAAAGTTCAAAGTTCCTATCATCGGCTGATGTTATAAACATCACATACCGACTGGGACTCGAACCAACAATCGTGTGTTTGAGTCCTGCTCATGACCTGGCCGCGGCCCGTTCCTAGTTCTATTGCTTTGTACTGGGTCACATGAAGCAGATCCATAAAAACACACAGAGAAGCTTGAACAAATACACACATGTCCAGTCAGATAAAAGGCAGGCAGAAAAAAAAAAAAAAAGAAAAGACGAAGGAGAAAAACAGGCGTAAAGACAGACCCAAAAAACAGGCACGAAACAGATATGTGTACATGTTAAGAAAAAAAAAAGTACAATAAAAAAATAAGAGGCGTATCTCTGAATAGTAATAAAAAGGAATTTCGAGAGAACGATAGCGCCACCTAGGCACCACGTAGAGTTCTGTTGGTTAATGGTAAATGAGCATCATTTTTTATACACAGCATAGCCCTTATAGATAACTGAGGAGTGCATTTTCTTCTGGTTCCACCCGGTGTGGACTCAACACTTTTGAAATATTTTTTTTTTCCTTGTTTTTAAAAGTCTCATTTTGGCACAGTGATTTTAAGCAGTGCTCACCTCAATCCACTGACATTTAGTGCTTTTGCTTCTCCTTGAACTGAAACACACCTTCCTTCCAGTCCAGAGTATGTGACAGTATTTGTAAGTATGTGCTGCAGGTATCGGATTGTTCCAGTAAGAGCCTGACATCGTGAGCTTTTCTCCATCAGCCACCGCTCGCTGACGTGTGGAAGGAGGAGGGAGCAGCGCCGTCCTGTCCACCTCACTGCGTGCTCCCAGTCACACCCTTCTTCGCCGCTGCAGCCGCCACCGCTGCCGCCGCCGCCTCCCCCCACGGCTCGCCGTCACTGTCCGCCCCTCGCTCCTTCTCCTCGTCCCAGTAATCGTCCTCCTCCTCGTCCTCCTCTTCCTCCACGGCAGACTCGTACGTGGCTTTCTCCTCCTGCTTGATGGCTGGCTTGGCCGGGGGGTCGGTGGGGGTGGTGGGGGCAGCAGGGGTGGCGCTGTCTCCTGAGTCGCTGCTGTCCTCGTAGGCGTCAGGGTTCTCCAGCATCTCCCTGATCAGAGGAGGCATGGGCCCTGGGATCTCCATCTTCAGTGTGATGGCTCTTTCTGCTCCTACCAGGCCAAAAAAAAAAATCAATTAAGAGTGAGTAATTAGTCTAATACTCCATGTTTTTGAAAAACTGGAGAACATGGAGGTCACCAGGAGAACATGAAAACTCCAAATAGAAAGACCGGGGATCAAACCCGTGATTTTCTAGCTGTGATTCGAGATTATCAACATGATGTGACATCATCTCTGGAACAGTTTAGTCGTCTTCAGCTGACCTTTGGTACTGATTCCTCGCAGGTCTGTGACTTTCATCAGCATGCGTGGAAACATATGAGGTTTGTTGGGGCGTCTGCGGCGGGTGTAGATCTTCAGAGCCTCCAGCAGGGGCTCCTGCAGCTTGTCCACCTTCTCCGGCTCTTCTAGGTCCATGCGGTCTGAGAGGGCGAGAAAAACAAAAAAACAAAAGTATGAATAATGAAGACGCACACATGTTGTAGAAGACGTGATCAGAAAGAACCGGAAACTCCACCTCCACAGATGAGGCAGATGGCGCTGAGGAGCCCCGTCTCCGTGTCGTCCATCTCCAGAGGCAGCAGCTGACCAGCGAAGGCAAACACCAGGTCTGTGAGCGGACCAAAGCCAGCGTTGTGCATCTGAGTCCTGTTGAGAGTCAGGCCATCGGAGAAGGTCATGGTGTCCTGCTCCGGTGTGTAACGAGTGCATATCCTCAGCATCTGCACAGAAGGAGCCG